AAAAAAAAATAGCCGGGCATTGTGGCGGGCGCCTGTGGTCCCAGCTACTTGGGAGGCGGAGGCAGGAGACTCGCTTGAGCCCAGGAGTTGGAGGTTGCTGTGAGCTGTAATGCCACGGCACTCTACCCAGGGGGACAGCTTGAGGCTCTGTCTCAAAAAAAAAAAAAAAAAAGCAAAGACGGTTTCAGCCTGGTGAGGATACTGGGCACCATAACTCTTGGGTCACAGGTGCTACAGGGCAGGAGGAAGTGTTTGGAATATCAGGGAAGGTATCACCCACAAGGTGTCCAAGGGCAGCCAGAGATGGCATGAAGCCTGTGGTGATGCTGGTCTCTAGGGGCTAGAGTTTGGGGGGGAGTTGCAGGTGGCAGGAGGCAGGTCTGGAAAGGGGATTAACTTTCTAAGTATCCATCTTATATTAAAGAAGAGGAAACTATACAGAGAAATGCTGTGCCAAATCAGTTTTTATCTTTTATTTTTAGTTCACAAATTAATAATACAGAGCTCTCATTTACTGAACGTTACTCTGTGTGCCTGGCACTGTCCTCAAGTCCTTTCTCATGAGCCTCTTCAAAACTCCACAAAGGGTGTGCTGCTAGGGCCTGCGTTGGCAGAGGAGAGGGGCAGCAAAGGGGCAGTGATGGCCTTGCTAGCTGCCCACGGCCATGCTGCTGGTGGGTGAGTGGTGAGGCCAGGAGTCGGTCCAGGCAGCCAGAGCCTCCTCCACACATGACTTCCAGTGACACTGAGCTGGTGGGCAGCAGTCTACAGAACTGTTGTTCCCACTGAATCTCTCCCAGCCTGTTTCAAGTTGCTTTTGATTGTTCGTTAAAATGACTAAATGTACCTAAAATTAAATGGGCAATGATTTTGTTTTTCTTATACAATTGAAGTTGTTGCTGTTACACTTAATAATTTATAGAATAAGAGGAAATGAGTGATGATAATCACAGGGCTTTCTTATTTGAGGTATTTATATTTAGTGTTCATTCAAATTACATTCTTTTTAGGTTGAGGGAAATCTTTCTGAACATTGGTGATACTAGTTGTTCACTGAAGTGGCTTCCTATACAAATATGTCTGTCGGCACCATTTGGATGAGTACTCAAAAAGTGAACATCCTCGGGCTGGACTGATAGTTGTTTTGCACTCTCTAAAAATAATTTTAGGTGTAGAAGTGAAATGACTTATTTAGAGCCTTAAATTACAATCAAGATAGGCTTTTAGCAGTTTTGCCAGGTTTTTAGTGTAGATTTCCCTACCTTTAATACCCCTCAGTAAACACTTACTGATGACAGTAATACTATAAAGTGATAGAACATATTGGAGAGAGTAACAGGCTGGCATTTTTTGTATAGTGGAAGTCCTGGGTCAAAACTTGGATTTCACTCTGATGTTTTAGTTGAACACACGCTTCACCTAACACCCTAAATATAGAAGGTCTTTGGTACCCAGAATCAACCCATTTTCCTTTAAAAGGAAAGGAAAGCTCCACCTTAGGCTGCCTGGACAAGTCCATAGCACCCTGGCATGTAATCCAGGCACCGAGCTCTCAGCTGGCCCCCGGTTGGTAATTCCTCAGCATGCTGGTATGTCCCGGCATTGCCAAGTAGACTGGAAGGATTTAGGGAACAGGAAGCAAGCTGCTGGGAGATAAAGCAAGCAACTGTGAGCTGCAGACAGGAGAGGAAATGAGAATGCTAGTCCAGAGAACCAGCACTAGCAGTTTGGCTTTGCTTTGAAACCAAAAGTCACTGGGAAGATTTCTGTCTCTGATTTTAGGGAGCTACCCACTGATTGAGTTACACAGTGGGACTCACAGCAAAGAAGTGTGCATAGGGACCACATCCCATTTATGGCTGCATCTCAACTGATTAAGGATTTTAAAGAGATGAAATCAAGTCAGTGAACATTTGGTTTATCCAACAATAGCAACTGTGTTGTCCTAAGACTAAGAAATCTTTAACTTTACAACTAATATAAACATAATTTTTGGTTCTGCTCTTTCGTGTTAGTGCCTTGTCTTGACTGCAAGCTGTTTTCATGAAAGAGAGGGGGTTGTTGTTGATGGATTTTAAAGACAAAAAGGAGAAAATATAGATAACATGACTCACCTATATCCTATGGGATATGACACCTTGTCATCAAATATTATTTTATAAAAAGTCTCATAGTAGATGGAAGGAAATAATTTAAATACTGACCAGTCATGAGTATCATGTTTTCATTTGTTATGTTCCATTCTGTGATGCCAGTCTGCAGTGCATTGATGAGTATGGGCTTAAATAATTACTGTGTCTTTTAAGGACTATTAGCCGAGTGCACACTTGTAGATTGTAGTACTTGGGCTAAGCCATTGTTGGATCTATAAGAAGTATATGATGTTTTATTGACCATTTGGAAATTCTAAATTTTATAACACATTCCGTGGAATTTAAAGACTTTTGTCATTGTTGGTTCAACTTGAAAAAAATTGCATCAGTAATTTGAATAGTGAGATGCACATGTCTGTTTAGTAAACTGAGCTCCACAGGGACAGAGATGTCTTACTCTCTGTTCTCACCACCTAACTTGACAGTGTCTCGCAGGCAGCAGTATTTGTATTATTAAAAGTGCCTTGGAGAGTGGAAAATAACCTACTGGAAAAAGTTTTCAATATCTTTTATAGTTGGAAGATGAAATGTCATAAGGATCATACCTTCTAATTATGTATTATTGTTTGACACAGTATGTTCACAATTGCTGTGTGTCAGTATTCAGAGATAAGCATGCCCCTGTCGCTTTCTTTGAGCAGCACAGCTCTGCTGGGGATGGTGTGCATAAGCTGATAGTTACAGCTGATTATGCAAGTGCTGAGCTGTGACCGGGCAAGGAAGGAGGGCTCCACAGAGGACTGCTGTTGGATCCGGCAGTCTCCCTGCTCCTGTCTGCGTGGTGGGTCCCCAACTAAGTCACACTTAACTAGGGGTGGCCAGGTCTCAAAAGGTTGGAATCTCACAGTTTCCTCTGGTTTTTGCAGTTTTTAAAAAGACCTATGGTATTCTTTACATTTTAAGTGGGCAATCAGTTTCCTCTTAGCATATTAGAGGATTTTGATATACGTTGTATAAGTACGATACATTGAGTGTGACCAACCAAGGCTGCTCAAAGCAGGCTAAATCAGACTGTTGTCAGAATTTCCTAGTTCTCTGGAAGCATGTTTAAGGACTTAAACTCAGGTGTGTCCATGGTATCACTTTGAGAAGTAGTGGGGTTTATTGGTTGGTCTGAAAGCAGGAATGTACTTTGGACAGCTGGTATGAGAAGTGGCTGGCGTTGAGAAGTCCTTGACTGGCATTCTCAGCCTCACTTTGTGTTTTCAAATATAAGTTAGAATTTGTTCATGCCAGTCTCCTTTTTTTTTTTTTTTTTGAGACAGAGCCTCAAGCTATCGCCCTGGGTAGAGTGCCATTGCATCACAGCTCACAGCAACCTCCAACTCCTGGGCTGAAGAGATTTTCCTGCCTCCACCTCCCAAGTAACTGGGACTACAGGCGCCTGCCACAACGCCTGGCTGTTGTTTGGTTGCCGCCATCGTTGTTTGGCGGGCCCAGGCTGGATTTGAACCTGCCGGCTCAGGTGTATGTATGTGACTGGCACCTTAGCTGCTTGAGCCACAGACACCAAGCCTTTTTTTTTTTTTTTTTTTTTTTTGAGGCAGAGTCTCACTATATTGCCCTGGGTAAAGTTCTGTGGCGTCACAACTCATAGCAACTTCCAGAGTCTCACTATGTTGCCCTGGGTAGAGTGCTATGGTGTCACAACTCATAGCAACCTCCAGCTCTTGGACTTAGGCGATTCTCTTGCTTCAGCCTCCTGAATAGCTGGGACTACAAGGCACTGGCCACAACGCCTGGCTATTTTTTTGTTGCACTTTGGCTGGGGCCGGATTTGAACCCGCCACCCTTGGCATATGGGGCTGGTGCCGCCAGTCTCCCATGTTTATAACAATTGCAATTAGTTAGGGACAAATTGCTGGCAATTGATTAGGGCTTGAATCTTTATTAATAGCAGGGGTGCTCTTGCTGAGGACTAGCAATGTTGTTTTAGTGACACACAGTATATATCTATGCTGTCTGTGGATGTTCTGACTTTCCAGCTGGAATTTAGCTGACGGTGGCAAGGGTGTTTGATGGCTCCCAACTCAGTATTAGTCACTTAGTGTGAACACACTGAATGTGTGCTGAGTGTCTGATCAAATCAGTTCATTACAATCACCAGGACAGGCCGGTCGGGGACAGCCTCAGGGACCACTTACCGGGGAACTTTGAGGTATTGGTCTTGCAGCCCCTGGTCTCCTAGGACCCTTCTGGAAGCCTGCTGCCCTCAGACTCATCCCGCTTTTACCTATCTGTTCTCACAAAGGGCCCAGAAGAGTTTCTGCCTATTTACATAAAGAAATGGTAGCTGAGAAAGATGAAAGTGATTTGTATGGATTCAAAATTTTTCAAATTTTATAAAGTTCTTATACTGATGAATTTTAATGCCTGTAATTTCATGTTTTCTCTATGATAAACAACTTAGATATTTCAACTGTGTATTTTTTCAAAATTGGTCACGTTTAGAAAATTTTGCTTCAGGAGGAAAGTAAAATTAAATGGTGTCATCCTTTCCTCTTTCTGTAGTAAGTGAATGCTACCCTGATTGAAACACATAATGAATTCTGTGAAACTAGTTGATTTACCCACAGGACCAGCAGATGAAGGCTTATCTGTAGGCGGCAGATGCTGGCTGCAGAGGGGCTCTGGGCCTCTGTTTCTATGACACGAAGCATGTTGTGCTGTACATTAAGTCAGGAAGCCCTGTCCATAGTTCTGATTCCCGTCAGGACTGTCATGTGTGGGCTCTGGTCCCCACACAGAACACGTGCTAATTAGTTCTTAGAGTCTAACACTTCATAGAGGTAACCCTGGCCTGCTGATGAATTACCAATGGTAAATATCTTCTTGGTGGTTTTCTAGGTTGTGCTGGTGAGGTGGAATGAGCCCTACCAGAAGCTGGCCACATGCGACGCTGATGGAGGAATATTTGTGTGGATTCAGTATGAAGGCAGGTGGTCTGTGGAACTGGTCAATGACCGAGGGGCTCAGGTGAGTGGGTGGCATCTCTTCAAACAAGACTTCTGGGAAAGAAAGCCTGACTGAGCACTCTAGAGCAAATGTGTTGGCATTGCACAGTATTGAAAATTCTTTCTAGAACAAGGTGGAATCGAAATTAATAGAATTTAGAGTCCTGCTTTTCATTTCTCTTGAATGTCACTAGATGAAAAGAGTGTGAGATCACACTTCTTTCTCTTCAACCATGCTGCTGTTTTGAGAACTCTCCAGGTTTCAAATTTTAATTAGATCTGTGAGATCATTTTTTATCCTTCAGCGTTGTGATTACATGTTAAATTTGGGTCCTTGGAAGGGCTCTGGCATATCACTTTTTTGCTTCCTTTTGAAAGGAACTGTCCCTATGCTGCAGTCTTCACAGTTCTTTCCCAGAGAGCTCTACGGGAGCGTTTCTCACAATCTGCTCACCGAGGGAAGAGTTTTTAACGTAATCTTCTCTCAGGTCTCAATTAGTGTGGACACCTGTTGTCATCTCTCAGCTTCTCCTTCCTGATGAAATTTGTCTCCACTCTGAGGAAAACAGTTGCTCCAAGGATACCTTGTTGAGCTGTGCTATTTTCAGAAAGGCTCCATAGATTGTTCTATATGTGGCACGCCTCCTCATGTGTTTAAAGAAACACACGTCAGAGTAGGCAGCTCTCATCGCAGGGATGTGACGAAACCTTGACTTGAGAACCAGAGCCCTCCAGGGATGTGAATTGACAAGAAGTTTCTTGACTATTTTGACTGTCTCAGAATGATTTTCTGGTGAGTACCTTTCTATGTGTTTCTCAAATACTAAATTCTTATCTTCCCCTCTTCTACCTGTTGCTTAATAAACTGTGAGCTTCTCAAGTATTTGAAAAATACAGATCAGTCAAGTGACATAAAATTGCAAGAAATGAAGTGGTTTGGTCAGTGACTGTCAAAAGTCAGAGGACGTCTGTGGAAGACACCATTTCAGTGCAGAAGACAACCTATTTCTGTATGAAGAGAGAGCATTTTTTATGAGTTTATTTATTTGGTAGGGTAAGTTTAATAACATTACCAGTTTCTGGCAGCACCCATACCTCAGTGGCTAGGGCGCAGGCCACATACACCGAAGCTGGTGGGTTTCAGCCCGGCCTGGGCCAGCTAAAACAACAATGACAACTGCAACAACAAAAAAAATAGCCAGGTGCTGTGGTGGGCGCATGTAGTCCCAGCTACTTGGGAGGCTGAGGCAAGAGAATCACTTAAGCCCAAGAGTTTGAGGTTGCTGTGAGCTGTGACTTCACGGCACTCTATCAAGGCTGACAGCTTGAGACTCTGTCTTAAAAAAAAAGAAAAAAGAAAAAGTAATAATATTACCGGTTTCTACATGCTTCCTTGGAGTGTGAACAGGAAGTGCTGCTCTATGATAACTGGCTGGCCTTCTGGAAGCAGAGCTGCAACGTGGACATCTCCACAGCTATGAGATACATCTGTTACCTGGAGGGTGGATGTATAATCACAAGCATGAGCTCTGGAGTCAGACAGCATAGGCCAAAAGTCTCGAGTGGGAGATACTGCTCAGTGCCTCAGTTTCCTCATTTTTAGTAGCACTGTGATATACCTGCCTCAGATTCCCAATGAGGATTAAGAGTATATGACCAATTTGATGAGCATATTTCAAATTGTATATAAAAATAACACACTGTACCCCGTGACAGTATCAATGTACACAGGTATGATCTAATTTAAAAAAAAAAAGAGTGTATATGAAAAGTGCTCACGGCACCCTCTGTCATAGCACTTGTCAGTGTACTTGTGCTCGTGGCACCCTCTGTCATAGCACTTGTCACTGCACTTGTGCTCACGGCACCCTCTGTCATAGCACTTGTCAGTGTACTTGTGCTCACGGCACCCTCTGCACATAGCACTTGTCACTGCACTTGTGCTCACGGCACCCTCTGTCATAGCACTTGTCACTGCACTTGTGCTTACGGCACCCTCTGCACATAGCACTTGTCAGTGCACTTGTGCTCACGGCACCCTCTGTCATAGCACTTGTCACTGCACTTGTGCTCGTGGCACCCTCTGTCATAGCACTTGTCACTGCACTTGTGCTCGTGGCACCCTCTGTCATAGCACTTGTCACTGCACTTGTGCTCACGGCACCCTCTGTCATAGCACTTGTCACAGGGCCTACCACTCTCAGCCCCCAGCACCAGGCTGCCCTGCTATGGAGCAGTAGCCTAGATGGTTTAACTGTTGTAAACAATGTGTGCTGCCAATGGGATAAAGCCTGGGATAGACAGTTATGTACAATATATAATACTTGATAATAAACTCTTATGTCACTAGCATTCACTATACTATCCAGAGTAAATTACTTATTTAAAAAAACAAACAGTAAACTGAAATAGGTAGATCCTTCAGAAGAAGGCATTATTATCATAGGAGGTAAGAGGAGGTATAGGAGATGGCAGCTCTGTAAGTGTTACTGCCCCTGAAGACCTTCCAGTGGGATAGAAGTGGAGGTGGAAGACGGTGATATTGATGATCCTGACCTTGTGTAGGTTTAGGCCAATGTGTATGTTTGTGTCTTTGGTTTTAACAAAAAAATTTAAAAAGTAAAAAAAAATTTAAATACAGAAAAGCTTATAGAAGAAGAATATAAAGAAAGAAAATACACAGTGTGTTTGTGTTTAAAGCTAAGTGTTATTCTTAAGAGTCAAGAAGTTAAAAAAAATAATGAAGTTACAGTTAGCTGTTAATTTATTACAGAAGAAAGACAAATGCTCTGTTATGAATTTAATGTAGCCTAAGTGTGCAACCTGCGTCAAGCCTGCATCAGTGCACAGTAAAGTCCAGGCCTTCACATTCTCTCACCACTCCCTCACTGACTCACCCAGAGCAACTGCCAGTCCTGCGAGCCCCATTCATGATGAGTGCTTTCTAGAGGAAGGCCAGTTTTTATCTTTTATGCCATATTTTTACTATACATTTTCTATAGTTAGTTACGATTAAATACACAAATGCTGTGTTGTAGTTGGCTACAGTGCTCAGTACGGTCACATTCCGTACAGGTCTGCAGCCTGGGAGCAGGAGGCTGCACCGGACAGCCCAGGTGTGTAGTAGGCTCTGCCATTTGTGCTTGTGCACGTCCACTCTGACATTAACACAGCCGTGAAATGACCTGACAACACATTTCTCAGAACATACCCCCATCATTAAGTGATGCATGACTGTATATCAAGAAAAGCTGAGACTGTATTGCCAGAGAAGCTGCCCCTGAGTCAGGCCGCACCACCACCACATGGTTTTCTGTTGGCTGAAGCTGTTGTCATCTCTACGTGGGAGCCATGTAGTCACTGCCAGCCATCACACCTCTTGCCCATTTCTGCCCATTGCAAGTTTGGAGCAGACACACAAACTAAAAAGGGGGACATGAATTCAGACCTAGAGGCAAATGAGCTTGCATACACCACAGAATATCTGTACGGACCCAGAATCTCAAAAGTGCCCCCAGGTTTGACTAAAGTAATGGCTGTGTATTGTGATCTGATTCAGATTCTTATATAATTTTGCCATTTGAAACTCTTTTGATTCTTCAAATCTTAGAATGCATTAAGCAGCTGTAATCATTAAATACTAGCATTTTGGCAAGGTTTGGTTGCTTTTAATTGTGTCAGAGTTAGATCTTATTTGAAAAAAAGGACATCATCAGATGGGTGATGATGAATCACAGATTAAAGGAGTGGTGGCTCTGTACCTGAAAAAGTACCTGGTGGGGGAAGTAGTCTGTGGCTTGGAGGAGGAACAACCTTGAAACCTGCTCAGAGAAAAGTAGAACTTTTTAGAAGAAATGATAGGCAATCCTTATAGTACACCTTTCTTTCATTGTCACGAACTAATTAAACACTGGGCAAAGTTAAGAGATGTTTTAACCGTTTCTTCTTCAGGAAATGATTATGAGACCTTTATTTTAGAAATGAGTTTGGCATAGTGCATGCCTTAATTACGCTCTTAGTCACTGAGGAAGCTGTCCAGGCACACACACCCTGTGCCGGTCTGACGAAAACCTGCCTCGGGCAATGGAGCAGTGAGCCTGCTGCTCAGCTTCAATTAATCCGTGTCTGATAACTCTCCTCTGCAATTGAAGAATACCTCTTCATTTCTGCCTGTTATCCCCTCCCCAGCATTTAATACTTGGTTTTCTCTGTTTTTGTTTTGCCAGTTATGTCATATTCTTAACCACTTTAAGCTGACCTAATAATAAAGCCAATTAGTTCATGTAAACATCCTCTGTTACTTGTTTTTTTGTTACTTGTAAGATTGCTGTTATCTCTGTTTTAGTCTACTATTAAGATGTTTTTCCTTTTAGTACAAATGCTTTCCAAAATATATGGGTAAAATGCATGTAAATAAATAGTATTATCTTTACAAAATGAAAGATCTTTTAAATTTTATTCTAGAATGTAATCCTTTGCCTTTGGAAAATGTTTTAAATTTTTGAGAAAAACTAGATAGTATAATTGTTTTGAACATAATGTCAATGAAACCAAGATTCTGAATTTATCTGAGAAAAAATTTTTTAGTATCTCAGACCATTTATTCCCAGATCCATGCCATTCTTATGGTGGAGAAATTGCTTATCACATAACATAAACTCAGTCCCTGCTGAGAAAGCAGCCACACGTTCCTTTTGGTGTTTGTTCATTTGTTCTCTTAAAACCTAAAAGGTATTACCCAGTAATATTACAAGTTCTAGATGTTTTGCAAGTGCTATATAACAAGAGAGAAAGCAAATTTCCAAACAGTTATTTTTAGTGATGGAATTAAAAACTTGATTTATGGACACTAGAATTTGAATTTTATATAATTTCATGAATAACAAAATATTGTCTATTGATTTTTCTTTTCTCAACTTTTAAACCCATTCTAAGTTTGTGGGCTAAACAAAAATGGGTGACAGGCCAGGTTTGGCCTACAGACTGTAGCTTGCTAGTCCCTATTTTAGGACATTAGTAACA